AACATTTTCTCCTCAGTTTGCAACTTGCTATAAAAGCGGGAGTTACAAAAAGGTCAGAATGCTGATGTTAAAACGGCTTGCCCTACAGGCTCTCCCTTCATGTTCAGCTTTTACTCATCTCCAACTTTTTGATGCGCTGTTTATTTTTCTTTTGTTCTCTTTTAAAGATTTGTCATAAACAACATTTACAGGTCCCACCACATTTATGTTATGTCGGTTATGTCCAAGGCATGTTTCACGCACCACCCCCTTCCTCCCTTTACAGCAATCGGAGGTATGTGTGTGCGACGCTGCGTCATCCGACTGGCGGCGCGTGTTCATTTTTGTAGTTTGTATCATCATTGTATTTTACAAGGGAGCCAAAATGCTCCCATGCATCCTAAATGATGCAGGGTTGTTTTCAAGCTTCTCTCCTCCTCCGCCATCACCACCGCTGTGTGTTTGAACAGGTAGCGCCTCCGCGTGACCGAACCATGTGCGTGCGTGCCATAGAGAGATCCATAAGGATCACAGACCAAAGATGATCCATCCATTGCACCCCTTGGTATAATATCATATCTGTTTCTAAATATATCCCGATATGATAAAAATATCGGTATATCGCTAAACCTTAGTTGTGATAACTTGACTTGTACTGTAGCAGCTGAAAAAGTTTTGAAAATGTAAAGATGAAAATGAAAACTTAAAATTGTAAACAAGCTTTAAAAAATTAACTGAATTAAAGACAATTTTCTAGCTGAAAGAAAAATGTACTTTCAATTCTTCTTATTTTGAATACGTTCTTTGGTTTTTCAGTGTATGTTCAAAATTTGACTTTTCCTTTCAACTTTTATTGTTTCAGTTTCAAACTTTATTCTCAATTATCCAAACATTCTGCCCGTCTCGGCTCCATATATTCCTACTAATGAGATTTGATTGAAGATGTGCTTGTCATACAACTCTAGCATCCTTTGTCTTTCAGCTGCTGCTCGGCAGTATGACAGACATCTCACGCAACAGGCCTTCAGCGACACTGAAAAAGTGGCTACGTTACGCCCCATGGCATGCTGGAGGAAAAAAGAACAACTAGAGGTAAATGAATTTGATAATACTAAACTGCTGTTTGCATGAGTACTGTATTTTCCAGACTATAAGCCGCTATACTTTATTCACTTACTTTGGACCCTGCGGCATATACAACGGTGCGGCTTATCTGTGGATTTTTTACAGCGCAGGAGCATACTATCAAAGAAGCGCAAGAGTGAGAGACCGTTTACGCTAAGTAACAAGAGCAAAACAAACCAAGTGAGCCAGTCTGCGCCAAGGAAGTTTTCATGCACACATCCTCATTACTGAAAACGAACGGAGAAGGATATGATGCTGCTTTTAAGTTAAATGCAATCAAGCTGGCTGTCAAAGAAGGAAACAGCTTGGCTAAACTTGGCATCAACCCTTTTTACACAGGCCAGCCGGCAACTATATTGAAAATTAAAGTAAACACGGGCAGTAAGTTTTGGTTTTTGAACAAAATCTGCTGAGATGGCAAAGTTCCTCTCAGTTAGAGCTGGAGCTCAGCTCACCAGAGACTGCAAAAGGACAGACACCTTTAGGAGCGGCTTGTGAAAAAAACGTAATGATCGCTGCTTTGATCTCAATTAAAAGTCCGCGGGAGCACAGAAACCGCCCCATACCCCCTTTATGCCGCTGTCACCTAATGTTTTATCAAAAAAAAAAAACTCCTCCACCACGATAAGGTAACGGTTCAAGGAGGAGATCAATTAATCGTATGATAGATTAAAAGAAACTCAATTTTTCCAACCTCGACATATCGAGATTAAGAAATGTAAAACACTTATGATTATTATTATTTATGTCCAAATGACTGAAGCAGAACCAATATTCCACTGGACAGAGCTAATATTTGGTTCCATGTTTCAAGGTGTGCCTTGTTTTGACAGACATACTTCCGGTTCCGGTGTGTTATGAATGATGGATTTAGAAGCAAGTATTAAAAGACGAATATTTCGATTATATTCATGCTAATTAGAATTGTAGAGACCCCGAGCGTCTCAGCGGCAGTCCCCAATTTAGCCAGCAGGAGACAGTAGTGGCTCACACTAGACCTTCATTAGGCTTCTTCTTCAACCCTTTGTAACACTACAGACACAGAACTTCTATCACGCTCCTACCACACAGAGTCACGGTGTCAGTTAACCATGCTAATTCAACCCACTCCACAGAACACACATCACCTTCCCTGTGGCTTGCATTAACATAACACTCAAATCAACACATAGAAACTAGCAGAGGGATAGGAAACACATATAACACAATACCCAGAATGCACCTGGCTTACAACCCCAGCCAGGTCATTACAGTATGTTTACGTGTACAGTAGTCCGTCAGCCGCATTTGGGATTCTTTAGCGTGTTTTAATAGTGTTTAATGATTGCTGTTAGCTCCTAATGCTAAAACTAGCCATTTGAGTGCCTTGACGTACATGATAAGCTGCTAACATACCTTTAGTTACATGAATGTGGGTTTATTTATTTTTTAGCAGTGTGTGTCAGTTATGTCTTTGTTGTATTATTTTAACTTATGGAAATCCCTTTTGTTTCTTCTTAGAAACAACATCTAAACCCATGTATCTTGCTTTGGTTACACGAGTCTACTGTTCAAGTTCAACTTAGATAAACTCACTGAGAATAATTCTAGTTTCCCTGGTTCTCTGACCGAAGCCTACCATTCATACTGGCCGCTTCAACCAGTCTGTTTTCCCTTATTAGTGTAGCATTACTTTATTATCATTATTAAAGAGCAGGTTTGGTTGTTGACACTGTGGCCATTGTTTTGGAGGGACAGTTTGCCCTCATTATCTGGTAACATTTAAGGCCTTCCTTCAAAATATAATGTATGGGTGGCTACTTATGCTGTTAAAAGCCTATACATGTCATGCAGCATTCATTTGGACAATTCAGATGAGTAAGAAAACCATAAACAAAGCACTACTGCATCCCCGTACAATCATACTGCCTTTTGAACTTGCCTCTAAAACAAGGATGATTTGTCTCCTTTTTAGCCCAGAGGATGCATTTCAAGGGAGTTAATAAAATTAAATTTGAAATGTTCCTCCTTGTGTTTTAAGCATGATTCAACTTTTACAGCATTTTATTGCCCAAACTACTTTAAGACACGTTGCAAGTATCAAATTTCAGATTAGCGTGTTTTCCCCCAAAAGATTTATTTTTCCCTGCTTTCAGCAGCTCATATGTTTTCTTTGCACTATTCTCTTTCAAATATATGGCTTGCATGGTTTGAAAATAACCGCATTTTGTTTTTATAAAAAAAAATACCAAGCATCCCAACTTTTTGGGAATTTGGGTTGTAACTACATACTGTCTGCTGTGTTTTTGGTCACATTGTGACCGCTGTCTCTCTTTCTCTTCCACAGTGTCCTTTTCACATGGGCTATGGCGGTGGAGTTCTGGTTGTATTGTTAGTGTTACCAAGAAAATTCTATTTCCTGTTATCTGCCTAACTATTATTACCTTTAATGAATTGTTTTAAACTAATGAGTTGTCCTCTGTTAAATAAACAGCTTTATTTTGAAAGAAATGTTCGAGAGTCAAAGTGTTTAACTTTTGAGCACTTATTGTTTTAAAAACAGATTTTTTTTAAGTGATGGAATAAACCTGAATGTAAATCATTTGCTGTTTGTTCAGTAATTCAAAAACTTGCAGTTGCAGGGGTGTCAAACTCAAACTCACAAGGGGCCGAAATGAAACTCTGGGACGGAGTCGAGGGCCAAACTTAATATTTTTGAAAAAGTGACGGCAAATTTGCACATTTTCTTTATCAACATATATGCAATTTTGAACCTTTAAATTTGGAAACAAACTTATTTCTGCATTAACACTGAATGTGGAATAACCAAATTACATACGAGCAAGTCGGTTTAAAATAAAACGCATCAGTAGTATTCATTACTTGTGGTATAATCAGCATTTTTAAAATCTATTCAGGATTTATGTTTTCTTGTTTATTCATTTTTCTTATTTTTTATTCTCCTGTTTTTCTCCTGTAATAAGTGTCATCGCTGATGTGACATCTAGCTTTCCCCACTGAGGAACAATAAAGGGATTTTCTATTCTATTCATCTATCTGTAGCCTTTCCACTTCCTGTTTACTGTAGGTTAAATCTTTTCTCACGGGCCAACAACAAAAATAAAAATATCATTTTATCTTAAATGAAAACGCAACATCTCACCTGTTAACTTTCATGTTTTGGAGCAGAAAAAGAGCATAAAACCAACATATTTAAAGCTCAGTTTGCTCCACTGGTTTACTGTGATGCTCACCTGTTCCAGCCAGATACCTGCATCATGGGGTTGAGCTGAGCTGAGGAGGAGACTCCTGTTGTTTTGTTCATCTTCATCATAATAATGACAACATTAGATGACAACAGCTGCTCACATAGATTTGTGCTGATGAACATGTCTGAGCAGCTTGAGCACGTTGTTGTGTGTCGGGGAGGAAAAACTACGACAGCAGCCACAGAGTCATGCTGGTTTGAGCGTGTTGCTGCTCGCTGGAGTTATATCAGCTCTGTCTGGACGTTAGTTGAAAAACTTTCTCTTTCAGTCGTGAACACATTACTGAGCAGCTAGAGTCTCCGTTTCTGGGCTTCAACGTCAGAAAACAGCTGAGTAAACTCAGCGCTGAGTGAGAGGAGTGATTAGTTTGTCTGAGACAGCGGAGCTGCAGAGACCGGCAGCAGGCGCTGAAAAAACATAAAGGAGGGGGCTTCGTCGGCTCCGCGCTGACGCCGCAAAGCATCATGCGAGTTTAAGTCTTTGCGGTAAAATCGGCCAGCGGGCCAGTTTTAATATATTTTTGATATTTATCTCGCGGGCCACATAAAAATGCTCCGCGGGCCAGATGCGGCCCGCGGGCCTTGACTCTGGCATATGTGAGTTAGAGGATGGTTGAAACAATATTGATTCAGTTACTTTTTCTAAACATTGAATCAACTAAAGTTTTAATGTAGATACACATTTAGATGATGGTTGAATCACCATTGATTCAATGTCTGCATGGTTGAAAATTCAATGATGATTCAACAAAAAGCGCAGTGGACACTTTCAATATAATTTCAACATCAGGATTCAATGTAATTTCAATGTTTCTGCAAAACATTATTTCAATGTTTATTCAACCAATTTTTGCTATCTGGGGCACGGCTCAGCGAGCTCTGGCACACACTTTGAAGGGAGCAGGAACACGTGTAACTCCAGTTATTCCTTCTGCACTCAGCTCGACTCCTTCAGGAGCAGAAAAGGAGAACTTTTGCAGCAAGCCAACCAAAAATAGAAAGAGCTCCATCTTGGCGAGGCCTTCCCCAAGACACACACGTTTCCCTGCAGAGCACACACACAAATGGTAATTGGTAAATGGCCTGTATCTGTATAGCATCTTCTTAGGGTTCTACAATCCCCCAAGGCACCACAACACAATCAGTCATTCACATGTGTGTTAAGTGTTCTCTGGGCTGCTAATAAATCTTGTGAAGACTGCTTCAATCACAAATTGTTTTTTTAACATGTTGGGTTGTCTTCCCTCAATGTTAACCACAAATGGCCAGGCTGCCTGTTGAATGTGGCGTGTGGCCAATCAGAAAGTGAGATTACGTGACTTTTTATCACCATGTGTGGCTTCTCTTCTGTTTTGAAAATTGTCCAACATTGTTAAAATCCTGCTATGAGACCATGGCCCAAGATCTAAACAGGACTGACTGGTGACATCCTCTGTTACCTCAGTGTTTTTGGAATAGTTTTAAGTATGCAACGATATCTGAATTTCTACAGATCATTTATGATCCAAAAGTAAATGGGTAGGTGTGGTGTACCAGATGAGAAGGGAAGGAAGGCTTCTCTCTTCACAAACTTCCCACTGGCATCCAGGAAGTGACCAGGATTGAAGGTGTCTGGAGTCTCCCACTCAGTTTTGTCAAACAACACAGAGGTCAGGATGGGCATTACAGCTGTGCCCTACAAAACAAAATCCATAGGATGACACAATGGTTAGTTAAAGGCACACTTGGACTCTATAGAGCTCCGGACCCCACGTGACTCTCAGTTAGTAGACGCCATATTGGCAGGTAAAAGAAGCTAAACAAACACGGATGTAAACATGAACATGAACAGGATCAGCTTGGATTTTAATTCGTCGTAGTTTACTTCACACTTTAAAACCGAAGAAATCGTTTTATATAGTCAGAAATTAAATAGACTAAACATCTCCGACCCTTACCGTGCCCCTGGGATACTTTTTAAAAACGCCAGAAGCTGTCGGAGCGGACTTCTTACCGGACCTAGCCCCCGGAGGAGCTGGCTAAACCAAGCTTTAGGCGGCTGGGGAGAGGGAAGTCTGGGACTCTCGATGCTACTGCCCGCTCCGATGCCAGAAGCTGTCGGAGCGGACTTCTTACCGGACCTGGCCGGGGAACCCCTTGGGATTTACCCGGAGGAGCTGGCTCAGGTGGCTGGGGAGAGGGAAGTCTGGGCCTCTCAACGCTACGGATACGCGGATGAAAATGGATGGACAAATAACAGATTTACACGTAAGTAGTTTAAATAGAGTGCTGTGCTGTTTGAATGTATAAACTGAACGCCAAGAGAAATCACCAGTTTGATTGTTTTCTGTGAATAAAATAAAAATGTCAGGCAGGAGCATCTCAGGATCTGTCTGAGAGCTGTCTCGGTGAGACAGATAATAGCAATCCAAAGTGCTTTGTATGTGTGATCTGACAACTGATCAACCATTGCTTAAAAATTAAATACAGCTTAGCCGGTTAATTGCTGTGATTATAAAATATGTAAACGGCAGCACGCAGAAATCACGAGGCAACGTTTTACGTGATGTTTACTTGTTTCTATGAGTAATAAGACAGAAAAAGCCACGCCAAAATAAGTTTTGGAAGCCCACTAAGAATCGTAATAAAAGCATTTAAAATAAATACCATACACAGTTGAGGAAACGTTGGTTTAAGTACCTGATATGAAGTGGTCACTGCATAAGTGAAAACCTTTACTCTCGGGATCCCACAGCTTCATTTCAGCCCGGTCACTAGCGCGTTTTATTACAATGATCCAACGTTTGCGGCGCTCCAGATCTTGGGGAATCCTGTAGATAGCTCATTCCTTATGTCGTCCGCGTCTGTTCTGCATCCTGGGGCACAACAGGAATCTACCATATTTCCTGTCTGATTGAGTTTTCTGACAATAACAAATAGTCCAGCTGCCGGCTTCTAGCTGCCAAGATGGCGCCGTTTCGATTTGAACTGTTGCATGCCAGGAGAAGTGACGTCAACTCCCGGAGCACTATGGACCCCATTTAGCTCACTTTTTGCATCCCCTAGTGTCTGTTATTACAGTTTTTTTCAATTGCTAAAACGCGTTTTTCAAAACTGTACGTTTCTTTCAAAACTGTACACACAAAACCCCAAACATAACACACAAATTCCTAAACTGTGGCTTCCCTTTGCAACAAAACCCTGCCATCACATAACGTAACATGTTCCCAAAATGGAACACGAGTTTTCATTTGGTAAACACAGCCACATTTTCATGACACACACATACCATTCATTGCTTAAACACAATTAGCCTTTGGTTGAACACTACCAAGCATGGAAAGAACACTGAAGAGCAAAACTGAAAACACAATTGTCTAAATGGAGATCAACATTGATAAGAGAAATTGGGCGATAGCTGGTTGGAAATGCTGGGTCTTTGCCTGGTTTTAACAAGAGACTAATATTGGCTGAATTCATGTTTGGCTGTAATTTGCCGCTCTCTTCGATTTCCCTCACCATTCTGAAAAATGTTGGAGCCAGAATGATCCAGAATTCTTTGTAGAATTCTACTGGGAACCTGTCTGGACCTGGAGCTTTCCTATTAGGCATAGATTTAAGGGCTTCCTGGAGCTCCGCTGATGTTAGTGGCGAGTCCAGGACTGTAACTTGGCTGTCTGATAATTTAGGAAGTGTTATCCTGTCAAGGAACTCATTGATCTCATTATCTGATGGGTTTATCTGTGGTGAGTACAACGTTTGGTAAAAGTCTCTGAAGGTGTTGTTTATTCTTTCAGGGTCATAAACTATATTCCCGGTTGAGTCTTTAACAGCAGATATGGTAGTTTTCTCTTTATTTATTTTTAATTGGCTAGCTAAGAATTTACCTGATTTATTACTATGTTCGAAGTTTTCTATTCGTAGTCTTTGTGCTAAAAATTGTGTCTTTTTGTCAATAATTCCATGAAGTTCTAGTTTAGCTTTACGTAATTTGCTCATTGACTCTTCTTCTGTGGATGCCTCTAAAGACTTGATGATTTCCTCTAACTCCTGAATATGTTTGTTTTCTGTTTTTTTCCTATGTGATGAGAAAGAGATTATTTTACCTCTCATCACTGCCTTTCCTGCCTCCCAGAGAATAGATGCTGATGTTCCAGGCAGGTCATTATGTTCTAAATATAAAGCCCACTCCTTTTTAAAAAATTCTATAAAACCTTCGCCTTTAAGCAGTGATGTATTAAACCTCCAGTTTCTGCTTGGTGGGATTGTCTTCTTATTTACCAGAGTTAAAGAAACGGGAGCATGGCCGCTGACAGCTATGGGGTGTATCTCAGTGTCTGAAATGTCAGCCAACAATGAGCTGCTGACTAGAAAATAATCCAAACGTGAGTGAGAGTGATGGACGTGTGAGAAAAAAGTATACTCTCTACGGTTAGGATGAAGAGATCGCCATGCATCACAAAGCCCATAATCACTCATGTACTGTTTAACTATATTAGTGGATTGCCAATTGCGCTGAGTCCCAGCTGTACTGAGCCTGTCTGTTAAGGAATTCATCCAAAAATTAAAATCACCTCCAAGTATAAGTGGACAGTCTAAGTGTTCGGAGAGTACAGAGAAAAAATTATGAAAGAATGGAGGGTCATCAATCTTTGGACAGTATATGCTGACAATACATAAGCTTTGGTTCTGTACAGGTATTTTTAACATTATAAATCTACCCTCTGGATCAAAGACTGTGTCCAATACTGTGAAATTGATGTTTTTGTGTATTAAAATAGCTACACCTCTTTGCCTAGTGTTATAGCAGGCAGAGAACATGCTGGGAAACTCAGGTGTTTTAAGTTCATCTGCGGATGTGGCAGATCTATGAGTCTCTTGCAATAATATTACGTCTGCTTGCACTCTCTTTAGCTGATCAAAAATCTTTAATCTTTTCTCTATGGAGCCAGCTCCATGTACGTTCCATGAGACAAATCTTAGTGCACCCATAGATGTGTGTGTGAGTAGCTAAAATATGACGCCTTCATGTGAATAAGATGGAATAAGTATCTAAATGAATAAAATAGTATGTTAATAAATAACAGAAAAGTAAATAATAATAATAATAATAATAATAATAAAGATCCAACAGTGTTTGTGGTTGTATTATTTGATGCATAAATTATGATATTTATTGTGCTGTGAACTTAATATATGTGTGTGTGTGTGTGTGTGTGCGTGTGTGTGTGTGTGTGTGTGCGTGTGTGTGTGTGTGTACGCGCGTGTGTGTGTGTGTGTGTGCGTGTGTGTGTGTCGGGTCTGATGCAGTGTTGGAAAGTTGCGTGGTTGTGCCGTACAGGTGTAAAGGTGCAGAAGCAGGTAAAAAGGAAGGGAAAATACAGATACAGGTTAAAAAAGAAGAAAGAACTAAAAAGAAAAGGTGATAGGGGTGTGAGGTGGTGAAGAACAGGTGATATCATCATCAACAATACGGATTTAGCAGCTGTTTAATCCTGACGTGATCAAACCCAGTGAATCCTGATAAGAATAATAAATGTCTGACCTGATGTTGGGCTAATACAGCCAGTCAGTCACTCCTCGCTCCTTGTAAAGCTTATTGTCCACATAAAGCTTATCCACCGAGATGACAGCTCTTTTCCCATCCTGGATAAACTTTTTTCGCAGCGGAAAGAAGACCCAGTGCTGATCCAGAATTTCCTTCGGGAACTGATCATTGACGCTGAAATCTTTCCCTTTGAGCTCTCTTCCGTGACTTTTAACAAGATCCTTCTGCTTAAAATGTTCAAATTTAGCCACGATGGGACGAGGTCTTCTGCTGTCCCCTCTTTTAGCTCCAAGGCGATGTACCCGGTGAAAGGTGATGTTTTTTACCTTTTCTTCGGGTATCTTCATTTCTGTCTGGAGAAAGTTCTTTATTGTTTGCTCGCAGTTCTCCGCCCCTCCCGCCTGCTCCGGCAGGCCTGCGAACACCAGATAATCCCTCATGCTGCGGGCCTGAAGGTCCAAAACCGTCTCCTTTAGAGTTTTGTTGTCCTGGGCGATCCGCGTCATTCCCTCTTCCAGGGAAGAAACGGACTCCCGCAGAGACGCTTTCTCAGCAGCGAGCCGCTCAACCTGCTCCTGGCTGAACTCCAGAGATGTTCGGAGGTTCTGAAACTCCTGGTGTAGAACCTCAAGCAGATGAAGTCGCCCCTCAAATCCCAGAAGCTGTTTATCTATAGAATCTAATAATTCTAATATGTCCTTCCGGGGAGATGAGGCCTCAGGTAAGTCCTGAGGACAGCTCCTCTTGGTCCCATTAGGTGTTTCAGCCTCAGCTGCTGATTTCTTCGGACCCATAACGAATAACTCAAAAACTTCGTCAATATAATTTAGCAAACTTTCTAAATTTCCTTCACTTACCTCCAGATTGAGTGAGTTATACTTACCAGATGATATTTTCGTTGTCAGTAGTTAAATTAGGCAAAAATGCATCTAAATTGTTTGTGGATGTTTGCTAACGAGCTGCCATCAGCTTCAAACGCTGCTGTGTCCGGTGATCGGCCGTCAGCGCATGCGCATCTCACCCCCTGGCCCTGGCCAAAAGATTAGAGAAGGTAACCCCCGTCATAATACACCCTGACCAAACTGGTTTCATTAAGGGTAGACAGTCATCCACAAACTCACGTAGATTACTTAATTTGATAGATTTCTCTTACAGTAGAAACATAGAAACTAGTATATTATCTCTAGATGCAGAAAAGGCTTTTGATAGAGTTAACTGGAGGTTCTTATTTGCAACTTTACATAAATTTGGTTTTGGAAACTTCTTCATAAACTGGCTACAAACATTATACAGTTCACCAACAGCACGTGTCAGGACGAATGACCAAATATCAGCTAGCTTCTGTCTTCAGAGGGGGACCAGGCAGGGATGCCCACTCTCCCCCTCACTATTTGCTATCTTTATTGAACCACTAGCAGCAGCAATTAGGCAAACAACAGATATTAAAGGGATAAAGTGTAAGAAAATAGAACATAAGATCAGTCTTTATGCAGATGATGTTTTACTCTTTCTCCAGAATTCTCAATCCTCTCTCTCCCAAGCAATAGAACTGATAAACTTTTTTTCAAGAGTTTCAGATTACTCTATAAACTGGTTAAAATCCACAGTTCTAGCAATTAATTTCTCATTTGTCAATTTGCTTAATACACAATTGGAGTCAGGGAATATCACATAC